CAGGCCATCGACCGCAGTTTGCTGGAATGTTCTGCCGAGGAGATCGCAGGGGTGAGTGCGGGAGCCCGGGAGGGCGATGTCCGGCCCTCGCAGGCCGCGCCCCGGGGGAGGAACAGAGTCCTGGAAATCCCGGAGCGCGCCACTGACTTCGGGTAACAGCCGCGCTGGCCCTGTCCGGTGGGGAAAGGACCCAGGAGGCCATCGAGCCTGCTCCGCGCCCTCTGTGCCCAGAGGTCCCCAGGCCCCCCGTACCTGGCGCTCTCATTGCCCCTCTTTACCTTCCTCGTCCGTGAAGTCTCCCACACTTAGGCCTTCGCCCTTTATGCCGGCTGTTGGGAGGAAGGGAGCGAGCCGCTTCCTAGCGCAGTCGTACAGTCGCCCTACTTTAGCTTCTGATCTCTTTTCTTGGGATAAGCAGAGCAGTGTCTGCGCTGAGGCGTCTTGTCCTCACCAACTTTGTTGCTGGGACCGCCCGGGGGCACCCAGGCTGCAAACCGCACAGCCCCGCATTCCCCCACAGTGCTTTTTAAAAAAGTCATCTTGCACTTGTTTATTTAGTTAGATGGCAACTAACTAAATAAACTCGGTGCCTGGGTGCATGGTAGTGTCTTGACACGTTTGCTGAGCGTGGAGGCTGGGAGGTTTTTTTAAAAAATATATATAATTTTTCTAGAAGTTGGGAAAAGTTGGACGGAGAACAAACGTTATATAACTTTGAGAAAGCAGCTTTGGTTAACAGATGCAAGCTCATTAATGGTAGAGTTGATCACAGTGTATCAGCAGCCATTAGGCCCTAACCCTAAGCCAATCAAACTCAGTAAGGACTAAAAATGTAATATGAACAGTGCTGATATAAGTAGCAAAATTATAAAAACAACTTCAACACACTCAGTGTCATCTTTTGCCAGTGAGGGCAGGGGACACCTATCAGAACAGATTGTCCACAGTGACTGTGAATGGTTCGAACAATTGGAGCCCAGTCTCTAAGGCCTGAAGTTGAAAAAGCTCCTAGAAAATGAGTGCCTCTCGGCACCCTGCATGTTGCGGGCAGTAGCTGGGGTATGAGGCTGTTGAGTGTTTGGGGTGAATTGGTACCCCTAAGGAAGTTCAGGTGGAAATGAGTGAGAGGGAGGGTAAAGGTGATACATTTAAAAAAATACATTGTTGCCTAACGAGTCTTTCTGAGTTTTTGGTTTTGTTTTTTAAGACTAAGGTGTTCAGCCTGTTTTCATGTATTTCTGTGTGAGATTGCACAACCCAAGGATTGTCAGCCCCCATCTGCCTTTGATTTATCAAAGCGATTTGGAAAAGGAGATGAAAGCCTGTCCTAAGAAAGCAGGAAAATAACAACAGTAACTTGGTATCTTTTTCTAATTGTTGTCAAATCTGTTTATGTCAAAGTAGTGGGGTTTTGGTTTGTTTGGTTTTTTTCTCTCCAGTGAATTTTTTGGCATCTGTGGGCTAGTGATGCTAGCAGTGTTACCCATTCTAAAATTGATGAGATACCCTCAGTTTGTTGCGGTTCCCGAGGAAGCATTTACAAAAACAGTGCCAGGGCTGTTGCGCCCAGCTCTTAAGGGGTGAATTTTCAAGCAGACGGAGTGCAGGAAAATAAGGGAAATGCAACAAAACCTTTTTTTAAATTTATTTCTAATGATGTGTATTTGTGTATGTCTGTGTCGGGTGTGAGCATATGAGTGCTGCACCCTGGCCCCAGGCACCAGATCCCCAGTGTGGTGGAAGAGTGCTGTGTGCTCTTAACTGCTGGGCTATCTCCAGCCCAACAGACTCTTATCAACTTGTGCCTGTTTGAATTTGGGAAGATCTCCGTCTGAGCTCACGTTACTTTCGGCTCAGTTGACTTTTAAGTGGCTTTCTTATGGAGATTTATGAAATGAAACTTTAGGAAATGTAGTCTGAAGGCAGGGAAGTCCTGTAAACAGAACAGATGGACACTAGAATCGGTGCCGTACTCCCCCGCTGTATAACCTCACCCAGCATTAATTCCATCTAGAGGGCTTTACTGGGTGTGTTTAATTAGGATGCCAAATACTTGAACATGGTTCTTTCAGCCTTAGGCTCCAGCATGGCCCTGGACCACAGCTGAAAGTTAACAGGCCATTTTCTCTTAGGATAAAAGTAAATTTTAGTCAGGTGTGGTGGTACATGCCTTTAGATCCAGCACTTCTGAGGCAGAGGCAGGCAGATCCCAGTTTGAGGCCAGCCAGGGCTATATAGTAAGAGCCCATCTCAAAAAAAAAATTTTTTTTTTTTTTAATTTTAGAGAAGATTAAACAGAGAAAGTAGTTATTGCAGAATTTAGACTTCCGTGATTGACGATTTTTTAATACCAATTCCATTTTAACTTAGTAAGTGCTGATGCCTTTTGTGTCATTTTGAAATGGGCTTGCTGTGTGTCCCAGGCTAGCCTTGAACTCAGAATCTTCCTGCTTAGCCTCCTGCCTGCTGGACTTGCAGGCAGGTGACACCACACCTGGCCTATGAGTAAGCCTTGAACACTTTTTTTGTATCAGGCAGAGGAAAGCCTTTGCTATTGCATCCATTTCAACCAAGCTGACTCTACACTTGGGATTTTAGAGATCACCGAAGCCAGCTGCGGTCGGTCTTCTCTTTCTTGGTAGAATTGATTCCAGTATGTTCCAATAGGTGATTATCATTTAGGAAGACACGTATTGTTTTTCCCCATGCGTGAAATAAATCGAAGCTGTGTTGGATGGTGCACGTCTATAATCCCAGCACTCAGGAGGCTGAGGCAGCAGGGTCACATGGGAGTGTCAATCCAGCCTGTGCTATATGGGGGATCCTTGTCTCCGAAAAGGAAATTTGGAGCTGGGTAGATGGCTCCTTCAGTCCAATGCTTCTTCATGCAGGCATAAGGACTTGAGTTCTCCCCAGGCACGGCAGTGTGTGGCTGTGGTCCCAGCACTGGGGAGCAGGAGACAAGCGGGTCCCTGGGGCTTGCTAGCAAGCTAGTCTGACTGAATCAGTGAATCCCAGATTCTGTGAGGGACTTGTTTAAAATAAGGCAGTGAGAAACTGAGGAAGACATCGGGTGCCCACCCCCCCAGGTGTCACGTGCACACACCCAGATGAGAGATTTCAAAAATTTCTTTCATGAACTTGAATTTCTGTGTCTGCGTGTTTGTGTATGTGAAGAGTGAGTTGGTGTGGGTGCCAGGCACTCTTGAGGAGGTCATAGGACATGATGTGGAGTCTATTCTTCCCTTCCATCTTTATGTGGACTCTGGGGATTAAACACAGGTCACCAGGCTTGCCAGGCAAGCTCCCTTAACCAATGGGCCATCTTGCCAGCACTCATTATAGACATTTTGTGTAGAGTTTTGTGGGTGTGTTGATTATTTCTAGTTTTAACATTGTGAATAGTCTTAGGGAGGTACAGTACACACTATGGTTCAGGGTTAGAGTGCATTCCTAGAGTTGTGTGACCATGACTTCCCTTTCATAATGTTCTCATCATCCCTCCAAAGGAATATGTCCCTCTCCATCCCCGCCCCCATCTCCAAACTGTAAACAATTGCTAATCTATTTTCTGTTTCCATAGATTCATTTATTCTGGACATTCTATATAAATGAGACCATACAATATATCTTATGGTTGTTCTCCTTTCTTTTCACAGATGTTCATCAGTGTTGTAGAATGCATTGATACTTCATTCCTTTTCATTACCAAACAATAGCCCCTTGTACAGATGGATATAGCACATGAATGGATATAGTTTTATCCATTCATGAGTGGATAGATATTTGGGCTTTGTTGCTTTTTGGATATCCGGAATGAGCTACTGTGAATATTTGTGTAGAGATTTGTGTGTGTGCACTTTGATTTCTCCGGGCCATGTCCCTGGGAGTGGAGCTGCTGGGTCATATGGTAATAACTCTTTTGAGGAACTGCCAGCCTGTATCCAGGGTGGCTGTAGCATTCTATATTCTGTCAGCAGTGCGGGAGGGCGCTCCGTTAGCTGCATCCTTGCCAGCACTTGTCTGTGTTTTGACTGTTGCCACTCTGTTAGGTATGAAGGACTTTCTCATGGATTGCACTTCCGTTTCTTACTTGATCGTGATGCTAAACACTTGTATGAGCTTATTGTCCATTTCTGTACCTTTGTACCTGCCATCTTAATGTAGTTTTCCTCCAGTTCCATACTCTATTTTACCAGTAGAGATTGCTGTTTTGTAGCTAACTCACATGTTGTGTGGCCTTGTTTGAAAGCAAACCAGATGTGCTCAAAAGATGCAGTTTTAATCGGCTGTAGAATACTTAGGTGCAGTAGCAAAGACAGCTAACCTCTAGGGACTCCCTTGCTTTGCGTTTCTGTTTTATGTGTGTTCTCAGTCCGAGGCTTAAAGTCAACCTTCAGCAGGAGGAGAGCTGGGATGTTGTCATGGCTTGTTTGCTTTAGTGGGATGAGGTGACAGTTTCTTTACTTGTAAGGTGGTAAGTGCTGGTCCGTGTATATGAGATAAGGACAAACCAAAGTGCAGCCAAGTTGGAAACCCAGTAATGTTTCACGTAGAAACCTCAGCAGCATTTAGCAGGTGAGAACTGGTAAGAAAAGCTGTTGATTTTATTTTGAGAAATATGTAAGCAATCATTGTGAGAGACAATCCTAAGTTTTTCTTGCTTTATATAATAATACATGTTAAGCTTAATCAGACTAAGGTGCCTGTAATAGAGTCCAAATACTAGGTGGCTTTTAATTGTTCACACAACAGTAATAAACTTTTGTATTTTGCAATATTGAGTACCTGGGCCTTATGAGTTCTGTACTACTGAACTACACCACCAGCTCCAGTGGTATACTTCTAAGCAATGGGGAACATATGTCAGCCTTTTTAGTTAGGTTTTGACAAGAAAATGATTTTTGAAATTAGATACTTCTCCACTAATGACATGCTTCATAATAGCCTTAACTTTTTTCCTTCCTTTAAGAT